TTCTCCCATGTAAGCTATCATATAATTCACAATAAAACATTAAATAAAAAAAAGAAAAAAGAATGAACCTATATGTTTAAATTATTATTATATATCCCCCACCTCACTCCCCCCAAAAAAAACAAAAAACAGGGAATAGAAGCAAATACTGTTGAATGATGATGCATGGAGGAGATTGTAATCACTGTAATTATAATCACTCAATTCAAAATAATAACTTAAAAAGAAAAATAAACCTATAAATAAACTTTAATATTTTTTAGAAATGTGGCTTACCAAAAGACTGTCAAACAATATCTTAAAGGGATTGTACATTTGTACCAAAGGTTAACCAACTGGCTACTGGACAAAGGTTAACGGTTTGATGCTACCCCATAGGCACCTTGGAAGATAGGCCTGGCGATCTGCTGCTGAAAAACCACAGCCTTGAAAACTCAAGGAGAAGAATCAACTTGAAAGCAACTAACAACAACAAAGATTTCCCTCTCCAGCTCCGGTGGTCACATTTTTTGAGGTGCTATCAATCTGAATCCCAAACTGGCTCTGGGCAATCTATGAACAGTGACTGTTTTCTTATTCTCTTTTTATAACCTCAAGTACCAGCATTCAGAAGATGTGCAACAAATGTCTGCTGGACTGAATCTAATCAACACATCTCCAATAAAACATATGAGAGATTAAATTCCTTTAACATTTCAAAATCATCAAAATTATAAACGTACAGGGGAACGCAGTGGCTCAGTAGGATATACATTAGACTGTGAACTGCAAGGTCTGTGGTTAGAGCCTATGAGCTGCTCTGCAGAAGAACAATGAGGCTTTCTACTCTTGAAAAGATTACAACCTTGGGGTCGCTATGAGCTGGTAATGAATCAACAGTACTTAACATAAATATACAAGCATATTTGTAAGATTTATCATTTAAAGTTCATGTGAAATTACAATTATAAAGAATTCCGCATGTTACTTTAAGCTTTATTTTTTAAATCTTGAAAAAACGTCTTAAAATTATGTCAGCCTCAGTATATACAAATGTTACTAAATATCCTAAAACAAATCCATAATCTGTTACCATACATTTGAAAAAGAACAATTGATTCAATTTATCATTATTCTAGTGTCTATTCTTGCTTCTGCCCACATACTTGCCTACTCATACACATTTTGTAAAGTCTTTTAGAACTTCCTTTGTAAAGAAAACAGTTGTTAAGTGCCATATAGGGTTTCCAAGGAGCAACTGGTGGGTTTGAACTTCCAACTTTGTGGTAAGCAGTACAGTGCTTAGCGATTTTAGTCGTTGGCTATTTTGGCAAACTTTACAGTAATCTGAATATCAATGGGCAAATTAATCATTTTAGTATTCTTCTACCTGTTTTATAGCCATAAACCAATGATCTGTAGAAAAATTGGTAACTAGGCAAGCTGTTGGTAGAATAGCTTTCTTTCCCCATTATAGCAATTATAATAAGCTTAAGTTACACTGTGGAACAATTTAGGAATCCTGGCTAGAAGACACTCTCAACTCTCACACCAAATAACAAACGACAGTGCCACAAGTACACTCTCCTCAGACGTTTAGAAAGTTGTGTCCAACCACTTTGTAAGTGATGTCATAGACCTCTTGAGATCAAACCGGAGATCCTCCCACTACGTGGTTCCTCCAAAGCTGCAAAAATGGAGCAAGTGGCCTAAGGACAATTCTGGAAAGGGTCTGGGGGGTCTCTCAAAAGCAGAGCCATTCATTCACTTCTGCAAACTCAGACTTAACATTCCTCCTTTCCCTCCACCAATGGCACTGTCGCGCCAAGGAGAACCAGACCACAAACCCAGCTCTCGAGTTGCTGGCAGGGGGGTGGTGCTATGGGGAAAGGATGTAAACAGACACTAAGATCCCAGTGAGTGACTTTTGACGGAAGGGAACGAAAGTGTGTGTGTGTGTGTGTGTTACTGATGTATACCCAAGGTGCTGTGTGTGTGTTACTGATATATACCCAAGGCGTTGAGTACAGTAAATAAGTGTCCTCTTGCTGAAGGATTGAATAAATGCCCAACACCTGCTCCAGAGCCGGCCGGGAGGTCACTCTCCTCTGCAGCCTCGGTCGAGGCAGCAACCAAAAGTCAGTTCTAGCCTGACTATGGTGTCTCCGTCCCAGCACCCCGGAGGCACTCACCGTTGGTGTAGGGAGACCCCGAGGTCGAGGCGGCCCCGTTCTGGGCCTGGAGAGCTGTCGGGGCGCCGCCGGAGGCCGGAATCCCCGGCTGGGACATGACGACGTTGGTTATCTGGATGATAAGGGGCTGGTGGGGGTCGACGACAGCGATCTGCGGAGAACTAAAAGACGACTGCAGAAAGCAGGAGAGGAGCTAATGATTTAGGACTGAAGGAGGGGAGAAGAGAGGGCAGTGCGTCAAGCCCTATGCATGGCGCCGCACTCTCCCCAGCCTGCCGGCAGTCTCTGCCTGGCCTGGGAGCTGAGGCTTGGAAGTCACGCCAGTAAGGCCAAGAACCGCGGGTTTGGAACCGCGGGCCGGGAGGCGGCAGCCAAGCAGAGAAAGAAGGAGGGAGGCCACAGCCGGAAGTGCCTGTCAGCCGCCGGTCGCGCAGGCGCAATTGGGACACGTGGCACTTCCGGCTTCGACAGGCTCCTGCTACTACCACACAGTCTTCTCTTAACTGGGCTGCCTCGAGGCCGCCTGACAGCTGGGGTGTCCCGGACCTAAGGACGGTGCCTGGCCTTGCCTGCCACGTCACTGGCTCTCGCCGGTGGCCGGAAGCTGCGTGTGTCACCGTTACGGAAATCCCCTCCTTCATGAACGTCATCTCATGGGCCGGGCCAGTGTGGAAGGCAGTCAAGACTTCAGTAGTCAGGATTGACAATTCCTCTCATTGGATTTTTGTGACCGACACTATTCGCCTTGATACCTAAACACCTTTGCTAGTTGAACCGATTAATGTTTACCCTACTCTTTCATTTACACATTCTGCCTTCATTTTCTAGGTGTAAATTATAAGATAAAAATTTTAAAGGTGTGGCTAATTATGTACATATGTTAAAAGGGTAATCAATTGGGGAGGAGACCTTTGCTTTTTGACTGCATGATTTCAAGGCAATTTTTAGTTTGAAACTCAATGATTCATAGCATAGTCACGCTAAAGTTCATTAAGAGCACATTGATCAGTCATTTAAATGGCAGTTTTATTTCCTCCTCTAAGAGTTTACAGTAAGGTGAAGAACTCAAACTTCCTTACTGACCAAGTAGACTTTTTTGACTTTTGAAACCAGAGGTCAAAGCTAGAGCACTATAGACGACATAGTTCATCAGTGATTCTGGTATCATCTTAGCTACCTACCTTCAATCTACTTGCTTAGGGTTTTCCTATCCTGAGCTGATAAGACCGTTTTTAAACTACAGAAGTACATTGTTGATTAAAATGTCATGACACGGTTTGTAACATCGGAGAGAAGTGCATCTAGCCTGATTGATTTAATATGAAATGCCTGCTATAAAATATTAGATATATGTTGTTGTTAAGTGCCGTTCAGTCTTTCCATGACCCTGTATAGGGTTTCTGAGGAGCGGATGGAGGTTAGCATTCTGGTGCTTATCATACAGTGCCACACCAGATACGTAGGAGCTCTGGTAGCGAAGTGGTTACGAATCGGGCTGCGAACCACAAAGTCAGCAGTTCAAAACTACCAGCTGTTCTGCAGGAGAAAGATGAGGCTTTCTGCTCCCGTAAAGATTTACAGCCTCGGAAACCCTGTTCAGGGTCGTTATGGGTCGGAACCAACTCGATGGCACTTAACAACAACAATATATATATATGAATATATGACTACAAAATAAAAAAAACCTTTATTGAACAAAGACATTATTTCTTGACATCCTCATCTAGATTTATACATTTTTGAAAGTGGTCTTTTCATGTTTCCCAACTCTTCCCTGAAGAATTCTGTGCTCTTAAATTTACACCACATCAAAATTTTCATTTTGGCATCCTTGAGGGATTTAAATCATGTTCCTTTTAAATGTTCGTTGAGTTTGGGGAACAAAAAGAAGTCTGAAGGGGCAAAATCAGGCAGATGGAGTAAAGTTTCCCAATGAAAGTCATTGGACAGCCCTTAACTACTCTCAAAGAATAGAAAAGAATTCCTTGGCACAATTTTCCTGGTGCCTTTTCTTAATCAGTGCAGTTTTCCATTATCTTAAGGTTTTGTTATGCCCAGAATTCGGGGTCCCCAAAGACCACCCAGGAGCCGAGTACCGAGTACCGATGCAAATACATGTTGTTGTTGTTGTTAAGTGCCGTCGAGTCGCGTCCGACCCATAGCGACCCTGTACAGGGTTTCCGAGGGTATAAATCCTTACGGGAGTAGAAAGCCTCATCTTTCTCCCGCGGAGCAGCTGGTAGTTTCGAACCGCTGACCTTAAGGTTCACAGCC